GGGAGGGAGGGAGGGAGGGAGGGAGGGAAAGGGGGAGGTTCTTCTGGAAAAGGAGAATCCTGAAGAGAGTTGGCCCTACTTCAAGGAACTTCTTGACTAGGTCCACAACTCACATTAATCTTGGTTTATTTTCTATGGCTTACTGAATGAGACACAAGTGGCTTTCCACAGGCCAACTGTGCCACCCTCATTTTATGGCTCCTCGTACCCCCAGAGTAACTATGGAATGGATCAGGCAAAAGGTTCACTCCATGGGGGGGGGGGGCATGGTTAAGGGGAGAAATGAATGCCTGAAACATTGCTGAAGATTAAGTCAGCCATTCATCCCATTAAATCCCTAAACCCAAAGACTGGTCTGAATGTTTTCAGTTTGGGGATCATGTTAACGGGTTAAATAGATGCTGGCTTAATGCAACCATTTTGCCTATTTAAAAAAAAAAAAAAACTTGAAAACTGAAAATTTCAGCCCCATCCATTACCTGACACCACCGGTACATCCTGTCACCCAGTCAGAGGCCAACATTTTTTTTAATATAAGAAAACAGAATCCAACAATACAAGAAAGGTATGGCTTGTCTGTAAGAAAATTACCTATATTTCTCTTTTCCTTCTGTTACAACTGGGATTGCCCAGTGAAATGGCACATTTTTCCCAGGAACGGTAGACCAACTATCAAGGTCAGGATAATCACGTCAATCAAGGGCAGATATGCAATAAAGATTTAGCTGTTTAGTTCTTGGCATCAACTTCTCTTACGTGACTTCATTCAGGAACCAAAACTGTCAGATTTGACAGCTGCAAATCTGCTGGCTGGGGAAGCAAAACTTGAATTGCAGTTGGGCTCTGGAAGGAAACGCCCTTCAGCCAAGAAGTGGGCTTGTTGAAAACCAGGGCGATCTTGGCTGATATGAGGAAAGCCCACCAAGAGGTGACACACACAGCCCATGAAATGTAGTTAGCAGCACTGGAACTTAAAAGATCATTGTTCTTGGTCAGGCCACAAGAAATCAGATCTCAGGATTGGCGCTTCAATTATTTCTTGTTTCAGGAAGGTCAGCTTCTGCTTCCAAAGGCCCATCATGCTCAGAAAGTAATACTAGACTTGGACGTTAGGATTTTATGGCATAGAAAATGGCCTGTGGATGGTCTTCTGAAGTTGCAACACACCAGAGTTTCCCCCGGGGGAAGGAAGGTCGACATTTTCAAGATCGTAAGCACAACGTCATCCCTGCCATGCTGCAGGCTTTGGCCTTTCTCCTGCAGACATTCTTGGAGGCCCACAGCTAAGATTGCTTCCTTCCAAATTATAATAATTCCATATTGTACAAGAAGAGTCAACAAAGCAGGGCCATTGACACCAGTCCAACGATGACATCCCCAAAGGTTGGTCACAAAACTCTTACTCAAGAGGATCCATGGCAGGGGGG